AAAAAAAGTATTTCAAGGAGATGGAGTCTTCAGCTGTGCCAGGTGTTGCTTAGAGATCAAGAAAAATGAAGACAGAACATTGAAAAATGGAATTATCATCCAGGAGGACATTGGCAACCTTGATAAGAAAGTTTCAGTGATGTGGTGGGAACAAGAACCTGTGTCGAGAGAGTGGGCGATGAGGAATCCTTTGGGAAGTTTCTCTATAAAGGGGATGAGAGAAATGCTTAGTTTTTGTATTGGGAAGATAATGAATTTTGCAAGCTCCTCTACAAATATAAACATTGAATGTTTTTCAAGACTTCAAAACCAATTTTAAATATAATTATTCAATTAAGATAAAAGAGATTTGTGTTTTATTATTTCATATTGATTTCATTGGCTGATACGTGTTTTGGTAGATTGCTTAATGTACTAAAATATACATTATTTTGAAATATGGTAACTTTCCCCAAAGATTTTCTACAGTTGTGCTAAGTTACAGATATGAATAAATCTGAAATTTTAAAATAGCTATACCAGTTACCAGTTGCTGTGGAGTCGACTCTGACTCATGGTGACCTTATGTATGTCATAGTAGAACTGTGCTCCATAGGGTTTTCAACGGCTGATTTTTCAGAAGTAGAAGCCATAATTGATAACAATTATTATAAAGTTTTAAGTATTTTCATATAATCTAAATTGAATTTTTGAATCATTAAAACTTGATATTAACATTAAATGTAGCTATTATGTTTTAAGATATTCTGTGTCTTGTTGGATATGCAATATTAGATTCAACGTATTTAGACTTTTATTTTCTTCATTCTTTTTGTATTTTATACCCAAACTATTTTTGTCATCTTTAAAAATAATTTTTATATTGTTGTAAAAGTATAGATAACACAACATTTGCTAATTCAACATTTTCGACATGCATAATTCAGTGGGACCAATTATATCAATTATGTCGTACAACAGTCACCAATATTCATTGCCAAATTTTTGTCACCATAAATAGAAACTCAGTGATTTATAAACAATGCTTTTTTTCTTCTTTTATTGGACCTTAACTGGCATCCTATTCTTCAGGGATAAAAATAAGGATCCAGCAATTGCTCTGAGAGAAACCTCAAATTCTAATATTCTCTTCTCCTTTTTCCCACCTCCACGAAGAAAAAGGAGGACTTTCTACGTCTGACTTTAATGACTTGCACTGGAAACCACGTTATTAGTCCCTATAGCTCCACCATTCAGTGTCAATCAAAAGCAAATATGTCAACTCTTGGAGCAGTGACTGAAAACAGGACAACTGGGCAACCAACTACACCAATGCAACATGATGTGAAGCTTAGTCTAAACCTATGCTGAGGTGATACCCATGTCATGGGCTGCTGTCAAGTGTTATTCTGCTTAGAGCTCCGACATTAGTCACCTCACTCCACCTGGAGCTCATCCTTTGAAAGCCTCAGACTTCTGATTCATGGGCCAGCCTTGGCTTACCAGGTTTTCAATCCGGGAGTAGAGCCTTTCAATTTTAAAATGAACTGTCTCTACACAGCTTTTGTGAAGAACTTCTTAAAAACCTCCGTTAGGTATTTCAGGCCTTGAAGAGGGAAGTGAAACTTTCATTACCTCAATTTTTTTTTAAGAAATTTATTATATAATTAATATATCCGAGTTCATTTTGTTTTGTGTAGATGACAGTAATCCATATAATAGAGGATGTGTAATACTGGTGTCAAGCAGCAAGAAGTCCCTAAGCAACAGAATGATCAAAGCTGCTAGGTTGGCTTGCCACACTTCTATAGATTTGACTGGTGAGAAGACAATGAGCCCAAATGGATTTAAGGAGTTTATTACTTAGACAGCATTAACAAGGTCAGCATAGTGTCAACTCCCCACATCACTAGAAGGGCTGGGACTAGGGTGAGATAAATGAGATGCTTAGAATAAAAATTTAAGTTACTCACTGCCAGATTTGTACTAGTACAGACCTTACACTTGCTCATCTCTTTAGAGTGAGGCACCTAGAGCACAAAATTCAAGGAGGCAGTCACTCTCAGGACCATGCAAGTACAAGATCAACATTTGCATAACCCTGAGAGTGAGTCATCTTAAATCTTACACCCTAGTTACCTCACTTGCCCCACTGGAGTCAGGCCTTGGTCCCTAGTTCCACAGAAGGATCAGAAACAGATAGCATGAGTGGTGGGTTACTCTGTCAGGAAAAACCAGTTTCATACTACACCTAAGCGGTTTTATTGTCTGCAGATGGACCCTGGCCAGTAGGGGGTTATAGGGAGGGTAGAGGTGGAAAGTCCCATGCATCACTGGAGCCAGGGAAGTAAATGAAAATCAGCCCTATGACGGCTTCTCACAAGGCTATCAGTCTTTACGACAAGATTTATGTCAGCCTGTGGTTTAGCCTTGCCTATGTCACCAGTGTGAATATGTGCAAGATCATCAGGGTGCTATAATAAAGGCATTATTCTACAAATAAGATTAAAAGACACAAATTTTGGAGTCACACAAATATGTTTGTGTCTCCACTATTTAATAGCTGTATGAGATTGGTAAGTTATATAAACTATTTAGCCTCTTAAGTTAGAAAATAACTAACTAACTTTAAAAGCTTGATGTAAGAGACAATATGTATAAACCACATAGTCAAAGTCTGGTAAGTGCTTGCTATTCTTATTAGTTATTAAGTCTAAATGGTTATTTGTACTTGGTATACAACATAGTTGAATTAATTCTGTAATCAAAAATTATAGTTTTGAATGCTTTAATCAAACTAATAACCTTATTACAGTAGTAATTTAAAAAATACCTTCCTACGAAGTCAATGGTTTTATTTTTTTATGTCCCCTTTTCTTTTTGCCTATATAAAATGACATTTAAATAATAAGATAGATAAGTTTGTTAAAGATTTCACTTATATTTTGTAAGATAAGACACTTAACAATCATCAAAAATCTTGACTCACTTTCAGTTATCATTTGAGAGCTATATAGCAATGCATATACTCGGAATTCCTCAAAGGATTTACTTATTTCACTTATTAATTTTACAGTATAAATTCATTTATGGATTAAAAAAAAAACCAAGCCCATTCCCTTCAAGTCGATTCTGACTCAGAGTGACCCTATAGGATAGAGTAGGACTGCCCCACAGGGTTTCCGAGGAGCACCTGGTTGATTCAAACTGCCCAACTTTTGGTTAGCAGCCATAGCTCCTAACCACTACGCCACCGGGGTTTCCCATTTATGCATACTTATGTTTATTATTCACACGTCTGAAAAATGTCTTTGCATCAAGTGATAAGTCACATTTAAATTTGGCCTCTGTCCAAGTAGAACACTCTTTTTCAATTTGTACTCAAAATGGAATACAAGCTCAAAATGTTTTACAATTGAATGAACAAAAGGAATAAGAGTATACACCTGAGCTCTGTTTAGAGCCATGAATTCATAGTTAATTTGTCTTTAGTTCAATATGTTAAAAACCAGAGACACCAATACGTTTTCACTTTCATCTTTTAAATTACTTTTTGCTTTATTTGTCTTAAGACTGTGACTATCATGAAAAGTTTAAAGTTAAAAAAAATTGAAAATTGAAACAGTATATCTATGTTAGCAATAAATTCTCATAATAGAACTTTTAAAAATGTTATATTTTTATTGGAAAGTATTTCTGGTGGTTGCTTTGTCTTATTAAGATAGGCATGATGAAATTTATCACTCATTAAAAACCTGTTCAAAGTCAGCTTCTTCAGATGAAAACTTTGATCACACTGTCCCTTCTCTTTCCCCTACCTTGACTTTAATGTTTCCTTCACTTGCTCATTTTAGCTCCATCTTGTGTTAAGAGTTCCTGTTGTTGAAATACCAGGGTAATAATGATGTGAATAAGTCTCAAGCAAATTAGTAGCCTAAGACCTTTTAATGATAGACCAAGGTATTGGCTGTTTCTCTGATCACAGGTATTTAATTTTCTTTCACTTCAATTTTTACTAAGGTTTCTTTTGACTTTGATTTCTTACAGCAGCCACCTTTCTCTACATTCTTTATCCCTATCCTTCCAACTGGATGCCAACAGACAAGAAGTGACCAGGATGAGAAGAAAGAGCCTTTCCAAAAAATAGAATAACTCTTCAGTGTAGCCCAAAGATCCTATCCAGCAGACTTTGAACAGAATCCCAGCCCCAGACAGTTTTTCTCATTTGAGGATGGGGGAGGGGGGGGTGGAATGAGTATTAAAAATTAAATAAGATGCAAACATTTAAAACCTGGGAGCTTTTACTTAAAAATCTGGAATTCTAGCTTTTCTTTAAAAAGTCATATGATTTGTAACCTTAGAACCAAACTCCTGGATACCAAAAACTGGCTAAAGCTGAGTTGTAGTTGTCTCTATACACAGGTCACATGCTCTTTAGCTGTTCGTAACATCACCCTTTTCACCATCTGTGAGACCTTTGACCACTATAGCCATGATTCAGGCATGATCTCCTGTGGTTACTGATTGGAGATTTGGAACTGATCTTTGTAAAGAAATAGCTAATCAATCTACATTTCTTTATATTTTCATTTTTTATTCGGAGTAATATAATGGATCATAGATAATTAAGCTTTTCTGTAGGTTAAGTATTTTCCATGGGATTAGTATTCTTGAAAACAACACTTTAAATTTCATTTTTATTAAATTTTCTTTTTATGTTCTGCCCTCACTTAAGCTCCTTAGAGAACTAAATATCTGCTTTCCCATCTAGAGCATATTTCAAATATTATTAGTCTGTTGATGTGTTTCCTTTTTACAGAGTGTTCAAAGATGGGGAAATATTTAGATTTTTAGATACAAGCATCGCGATTTATTTATCATTACAATGTGCAAGATTGTTTAAAAAAATAGTAGCTGAAATTCCCTAACTTTGAAGCTGAAGGATATATTACACTGTGGGACTGGGGAATTCTCCATGCTGTTGAGTAGCATTTTACAATCCACACCTCTCCCCTTTTCAGGATATCGAATCCCTAACAGGAGGTCTGACTGGTTCTAAGGGGGCTGATCCACCGGTAAGTTAGATTCTTCATTAAATTTAACTATTGACAAATGGAATTTTATACACACCAGATCATCAGTTACTGGTATACTATTTGTTGTACATGAGTACTGTTTTGAAATATAGCTATTGTGGTAACTAATACAAAAGTGTAAAATTGCTTTGAGGTATACTTTGGTGTTTTAAAAAGTTTTAATAAATTCATAAAATTCATCTGTACTTGTTGGCACTAAGAATAAAAATAAAAGCTTCACCAGAATATGTCAGTACTTTATGTCTTACTAATGGCTACAACAAAAGTTAAAACTTTCGGAACTTGAGAGTTTACTATTCTAAATATGAGTGTACGATTTGGGGAGCAATACATTTTCTAGTTACTGAAAGAAATTATGCCCATGATGTCAACAGTATAGATTTTTGGTATCGCTGTTTTTCTTTTTATTATGTAACTCAGGACACTTTTAGAAAATTAGAAAAAAGTAGTCTGCAGTTTTAAAACATTATTGGTTTTATGCAATAATAAGAGATTATTATTGTAGTTTTAGAACATTATAATCCCTTCCGTGATGATGTCTGATTTCAGAGAACATTGATTAAGATAATATATCTTTTGACTTCATGCTTGAAGTGCAAACATGAGTTCGTGGTATATATCTAAAGCAATAAAATGGATTCAATTTCAACAAATAGTGAATACATAAATTTTTATCACCGCTTGCTTTTCACATAGCATTGTGAGATTTAATGAGCAACACACAGAGCCCAATGCTATCCATTTTCAGTTGTACTTTACCTAAACCAAAATCAAACCAAATCCATTGCCGTCAAGTCGATCCCAACTCATAACAACTCTATAGTCAACTATAAGTACAAGAAAGCTGAAGGTTTATGTTGTTTGAAAAGCTATGGTCCTATGTGTTGACCCTTAAACAACAGTGAGGTGTTTAAAAGGCAACTTTCTGTTGTATCTTCCTCCTGTCTCATGTGTGTCTCATGATGTTGTCTAATCTTCTTCAAGTTGCTCCTTAATTAGGGCTAAACAATATATTGCAGTTTTGTTTTGTTTTTTCATCATCTGAATTTATGTGGGAACAATGTATTGGCTTCAGGTAACTGCATATATTTATTCCCTGAACCTGTTATATTGCATAATGCAAAATGAATGTGAGTCTACCCAGCAAGTATTTTGTGACAGGATTTATGACCAGCTCTATACTTAAGTAGTGTAGGTGACTGTTTGTGTGATGTAATTTAGCCCTGCTGCCTTGTACAATGCTTGTACATAGCATTCAAATTTTATTGGAATGGTAAATCCATTTTTTTTTCAAAATACTTTCCTCATCTTTTTACTGATTCCTGGAAGAATTTTACAGTTAGAGATTAGTTATATTTTAAAGGATTTGTTCCTTGTTCAAAACAAAAGTAAAAACCTCTCTTCTGCATGTGGTGATAGAGTTTTTATCCATTGTTTAAATCTTAAATTAATCATCTCTCCTTTAAGGAAGGCATATTTTCAAACATCAAAAGATTTGAGTGGGAATGAGACCTAGTTATTGGAAGAAACCTCTTGTAGAGGAAAAAAGGACACAGAAAGGAAAAATGACATCTCGAGGGCAAACTTCATCAACTTCATTTCCTTTAGCTATAAGTAAATAGACATCAAGTATGTTGTTGTTAGGTGCCGTCAAGTCGGTTTTGACTCATAGCAACCTCACGTGACAGAGTAGAACTGCTCCATAGGGTTTTCTAGGCTGTAAAATTTACAGAAATAGATTGCCAGGTCTTTCTTCCACGAAGCTGCTGGGTGGGTTTGAACTGCTAACTCACTTAGAAT